AAATAAAATAAAAAAATGGTCTGCTATGAAATAAAAAACGTAAATCAAAGTCATTATAATATTCTTATGTAATGTCATATCAGCTCTTTATTTTTACTTCTTACTTTTTATTTTATTTTTATTTCTATTTTTATTTTATTTTTAAATTTTTTAATTTTATTTTAATTTTATTTTTTGTTCTCTTTTAATTTAATTTTTATTTTTTATTTTATTTTTTGTATTACTTTATTTTTAGTTAAAAAACGAACATAATTAGTCTCTCATTTTATTTTTAGTTTAAAAAATTAAAAATAAAATAAAACATTAATTACATATATTTGTACTTGTCAAAAGCATAACGTTACGTTATAAAGGCGTATGATATTTTATACATGTTGTAATATATATATTGTTATAGAATTTTATATTGACAAAATATATTTATATATTGATATATTCGATATACTTTATAAATATTTTCATAGTGTATTTGTGCGGTTTATTTTGTAATAAATATGTTTATTTTGTATATAATGTTTATCTTTGTCTTTATTAATTTTATATATCTACTTAATCATCTAATTAATCATTTAATATCTATTTCAAAGAAGTGAATTTCAAACTATTGAAAAGATTACATGTATATATGAGACGAAACTCTACAATTTATTTTAGTTCGCTCTCCACCACCAGATGGCAGTCTCATCTTTGTTGCCCATCTTATATACAGAGCGTTCATTTCTCTTAGTATATGTTCTGTGATCGAAATGCAGCCTATGAATATCGGTCGTAAAGTTACCTTTTCTGCTGAACGCAGCCAATGGAATAACGGATCTGTAGTTTGCAGCGTAGATCAGTCACGAGAGGTCTCTACGATATTTGCTGCCGATCCTTAACAATCTCTTCTAATATTGGTCACGTAGATCGGATTTTCTTTTCTGTCATTGCCGTTACTCAGCTTGTCCGCCATTTTCCCTTTTTCATTCACTTTCGAAGTTTTCGTACAGATTGAATTGAAACAGAGATCGATTTGCTTGGTGATAATTTATCACTTCGCGTGTGTTATCAGGAAACAAGATTCGAGAACGTGACATACGAAGAAGAAAAATGAGTTATGGTAGACCGCCGCCCCGTATCGACGGGATGGTTTCCCTGAAAGTTGATAATCTCACATACAGGACGACGCCAGAAGATCTGAGGCGCGTGTTCGAGCGATGCGGTGAAGTCGGCGATATTTACATCCCCCGAGATCGCTTCACGCGCGAGAGTCGCGGTTTTGCGTTTGTCAGGTAAGTGCTACAATTAAACATGAATTAGATAACCATTGTATTTTATCATAAGATGCATCATAAATCACACTCAGCAATACGGTTTAATTAACCACTCTTGCAAGCGAACTTAATTCGACATAAATATGCGCATTGCTGTCACGATTCGAATGCGCCAATTCGCAAGTGTGGACACACACACACACACACACACACACACACCATACACACACATATACGATATATTTATATATATTTACAAATATTTTTTTTGCTGAACTGCTGAATGATACATATTTCTTATCCTGATACATCTTCAAACATTTAATGTACGATAAAAAAAAAATTTAATATACAGTCATTGACAAATGATATTGACAAATTTACATATTATCAGACATAGGAATTAGTATAAAAAAGATAATCTTTCTTATCTTGTGTTTTTATAAAACCCTATTAGAAAGCGAGAATTAACATTAAAAATTCTCTTCTATATAAGCATTGATAAACATGTAACAAAGAACTTGCTTTGAAATCTACAATTTAATATATGATACTTTCTTAAATAAAAAGAAATAGAAAGATTATTTTATACATATTCTCAAAAATCAGTGATAATTTGTATATAATAATATAATATTATTCAGTAATATTTTGTAAATAGTAAAACAAGATGACTATTTCTAAATACAATCATAAAAATAATAGGATTCTGAAGAAGAACAATAGTTTTTTTCAAATAGATTTTATTTTTATCTAAAGCTATAAAATGTGTATATATATCATGTGTCAATATATATATCATAATATATAATTATATTTAGATTTTATTACTATATATTGTTTAAATAAAATTATTAACCTTATTAAGCTAAATTATATAAGCTAATGAAAAGATAATAATTTGTATTTAATTTCTATGCTTTTAAATGTAAAAATGAATGAATTTTATTAAAATAATTATGTTAGATAATCATAATTGATCTGTCAGAATAATCTGCAAATGTTAATTTATATTAATAATGAAAATTATAGGTATATGCATATTCATGTATATATAGTAAAAAATATTATTAATTTATTATTTGACTTTTATTTATATTAGTGCTAAAACTTTAATAAAATAAGAAAGTCCTTAAGTCTCTCGCAACACGACATGGGTTGTTTGATGTCAGAGATGAAAAATGACATGCAAAAAGTTTCTTGCATTGTATATCTTCATTTTGTATTTTTCTCTTAAAAATATAATATAGATATTTTCATATTCATATTTCATTTTCATATTTCTTAAAACTTATAAAAAATATCAGACAGTAAAGTATCCAATAAATCATGTAAAAGTATAAAATAATTCTTGAAATAATTGTTACTGCTCAACTATCAGAAACAACTAAATCTAGTCTAATGATTTCTGATAGCTAAGCAGTGTACCATTATTTCAAAAATTATTTTACACTTTTATATGATTTATTGGATAGATATCTTATTTTCTGGTATTTTTTACAAGTTTTAAGAATATAAAAATATCGTGTTTTTGAAACAAAATAAAGTACAAAATAAAGTTATATGGCAAGAAACTTTTTACGTGTCATTTCTTGCTTCTGACATCATAATTCAATATGGCTGCAGCAAGAGAGCCGAGCCTTTAATATAAACTCAGCAATTTTAAATTTTGTTTAATATGACAGTTCCTATCTTGTATGGAATATAAGCATTAATTAACAAATTAGGCTAATATTTCATTTGTTATATGATACATTTTCTCAACATATTGATTGATTATAAATTAAATTTTTGAACTTTAAAATTTGAAAACTTCTATAATCAACCAACATGTTTAAAAAATTTTTAGATGATAAATATTAGACTATAATTAATTATACCAGAAAAATATAGTAGATATAAAAAAATATATAATTTATATATAATTTATTAATTAAAAGCCGGAAATATTGAAACATAAGTATCTTTTAAGCACACATATATATATATATATATATA